GTACCAGGGATTGAACCCAGGGCACTTAACCACTGAGCCACATCGCCAGGTCTTTATTTTTATCTTTTATTTTGAGCCAGGAAGGGTCTCACTAAATTGCTAAGGCCGACTTTGAATTTGTGGACCTCCTGCCTCAGCCTCCCAAGCTGCTGGGATCATAGGTGTGCACCAGTGTGCCCAGCACGTTTTCATTTTTTTAAACTGTATTTTCCTTGGGTGCCAAGTACAAAATAAAATTTATTTCACCACACTTTTGGTGACCAAGATGCTAGTGGGCTGTTGGGAAGCAAGTGATGTTGACCTGGATAGAGCTCCCGTGTAAGCACATTAGACTTTCAGTGTTCTAGGTGGATGGTCAACTTTGCAGTGGGGGCCTCATTATTCAGCCCAGCACAGACATGTCATGTATATCACAGTTAAACACAGGGGTGGCAATATTTTTTCTGAAAAATGGAGAAAAAAATTTGTGAGATTTTTAAAAAATTTATGTCAATCAAAGCAAAAATTTCACCAGAATAGACCTTATTGATCATATGAGTTTAAGGAATACCCTTTATTTTTTATTTATCTATGTATTTATCTTGCAGTGCTGGGGATGGAATCCAATGCCTTGCATATGGTAGGCAAGTACTCTACTACTGGGCTTCCCCAGCCCGACCTGGTGATAATCTTTATACAGCCCTTTCCCAGTCATTATCTTTCTATTAGGCGATGTTCTCTCCTTTTAACTTTGGCAAATACCTGTCACTTCTGTCAAGACCTCTATTCAGAGAATGAAGAATATCTAAAAATAATATTATACAAACGCCTGGGCATATTTTTTTCCTTAAGAAAAATATCAGGAAGAAATAACCACAAATATTGCTTACAAAAATAAATTCATCACAGACTTGACTGGGCTACAAGCAATGAACTTGTTACTCAGTTTCTTTCTCTGGTGGGACGACTTCCATCAGCATCTGAAGGTACATGGTGACAGGCTCTGGGACAGAAAGCACAAGAAGTGCAGTTAGCAACACATAACTAAAAGACCTCCCTATCACTGCTGAGCAGTGAGCCTGTTCTTACTCTGTGGTGATAGGTCACCTCTTAGGACCTCCACTCAAGTGACACCTGGGGTTCAGAGTTAATGAGAACCCTCCTGGTAACTACATTGGTTCTGTAGAAATTATTTCCTATTAAGGAATTAGGAACCTGCTAAATATTTTTTTGCTTCTAATTTACACTATAGGAAAAATATGAGTGACTCAATTCTGTGTATGTATTTAATACCAAGCATTGACCAATATGAAGTCACTGAGACTGCATTGTGTCTAAAATAAATTTTTTTTTTTTAAAACCACCTTGACCCAAGGTCTTATCAGTTTTTGGAAGGAGCAACTTGGTTAAGCATACTTAAGGGAGGAAACGGCTGAGAAGCAGCTTGTATTTTGTATCATCAGGTTGCCAGTCATCCTGGCTAGGTTCTCCATCAGTGTGGTCAAATCCAAGTTTATTTCAGAAGCATGGAGAAAATGGCTATTTTTCTGAATGACTTCCTTTCCTTTCTGTACTCATGTGCCTGCCTGCAGCCTTTCTTTCTCAGCTTAGGGTTGAGACTGGAGTGAAGAGAATGGAGGTGAAGGGAGCTGTTTCAGGAAAGTAGAAATAATAGCTATGTGTGCTTTGTTTTCACTTTGCTAACCAACAGGAAATAGTCTCTCTGGTTCTACCACCACTTGCATGTAAGTGGTGGTACCAGATTCCACAGCTGAGAAAGCAGGTAGAGAGAAGCTCTCACTTGCTCAAACTGAAGAAAGGCATGCTCCACCCTGTTACTTGCATCTGGAATCCCAGATCAACTTCCCTACCAACCAACTTGCTTCTGTTCTTTCATACTGTGTGTACTATATTTATGCAGGTGTATAAATATAAACCATAGGATGGCCTCGGGTGATTTTTTTTTCTTGTTCTGACAGGCTGAACAGCAGCAGGGAAGAGTTAGGTTTTTAATCACAGTTACTCAATGAATGAATGTTGGATGCCAGACATTGCTAGATTCATTGTGCAAAGCCCAGTTCTGGTCTGAAAGGGACTCCCAGTATAGAGAAGAAATCGGCCATTGATCACCTCACTGCCTGGTGAGGTGGCTTTGAAGGCAAGTGGGGTTTCTTAGTTGAATCTGCTGGGTAAAATAAAACACTAGTGAACATAATGTAGTTACAGACTTTTAAAAAATAGGTAAGTTCAGAGGGTGTTTTTGAGGCTATGTTTTGCACAGTGCTTTCTTTTTAGAACCGGAAGAGGCTAATATAAGCTAAGTTTTTAAACAACTCTTGTCCAAAATAGATGAGGATCAGGATGCAGAATCCTGATGGTCTCAGCATGGGAAGGTTCAGGCCCTTGTCCCAATTCCCTGTCCTAACTACCATCATTTTGGGGGTATTTGGGGGGATACTGTTGAGCCTCTTAGGTGATGGCCACACAGCTCTGGCAGGAGAAAATGGTGCTGTCAAGATGAGATGTAGAACATGATTATACTTGACCCTATGGAACTAGACACTCAATAGTGGTTTAAATGATAAATTTTATCTTAAGTATATTTTACAATTGAAAAGAACATGGTGCGTTTCCTTCCTTCTTGTTAATAGTATTTGACAGGAACAAAGGAGACTAGGGGTAGACTCAGAGCATTGTAGAGGGAAAAGCATCCTGTATCCTCTAAGGAGGAGGTGAAGTCTGTTATCTAGGTGAGAATCTGTCATAAGGAAATGTGGTGGTGAGAAGGCAGGTGAGATTGTCCCTCTGCCCTTTACTGATGGCACAGTAGCCCTTCTGTTTATACTTACTTGAGATTTTCTGAGCCCATCCAAACTTGTAGTAGACAAAAAGGAAGTAAAATATAAGGCCACTCAGTATAAATAACACACAGTAGAGATACTCCCATGCAGGCCTACTGATGATTGGGGCCAGAACCAAAAACATAGATATGAAAGTCACCAAGATGGGAATGAAAATGGGTACCTGTAAACAAGACAGCAAGGCGTGTGGTTAAGCTCCATATATTTGTTTTCCTTTTTAAAATTTTCATTTTCAATTTTTTCATAGAAAAAAAGAGTAGAATGAACTCTATGAACCCTTCCTCCAGTTTCAAGAATGTTTATGTAATTTTGCCAGTCTTTTCACCTACTCCAGTCTTCTTGTTCCTAGAACAGACAATACAGATAACTGTAAAATGTTGAATATGCATCTCTATAGTCAGTGAAGGCGTACTGTTTTTTTTTCTTGTTGTTTGTTTGTTTATTTTGGAGTTTGTTTTTTTTGATGGGGGTACCAGGGGTTGAATTCAGGGGCACTCAACCACTGAGCCACCTCCCCATCCTCATTTTGTATTTTATTTAGAGACAGTCTCACTGAGTTGCTTAGCACCTCCCAGTTACTGAGGCTGGCTTTGAACTCATGATCCTCCCGCCTCAACTTCTCCTGAGCTGCCGTGTGCCACTGTGCCCAGTGTAAGGCTTCCTGTTTTTAACTAGATAATCCCCCCTCCTTATCTTGCTACTGATTCCTTGGGGGAAGTGGATGATTTCACCTGTACAGTGTTTAAATCCAGTTTTGTGTGATTGCTTCCTCCAAATGTCATTTAACTGGCTCTTCTCTCTCCCGTATCCTGTAAAGTGGTTGATGTAGAAGGAAGAACCCTTCAGTCAGAGCAGTGCACATCCTTTTGTGATACTTCATGAGGCCATAATGTCTGTCCCACTTTTGAAGTGCTGAGATCCATTGGCAGGTGTGGAGGAGAGAGACCAATCCAACCTCACCATTGAAATTTTCTTGCTAATTTTTCATGGTTTTAAAGCAAAACTAACACTAAAGCTGTAATGATTTTATCTTTCATTGATCATGTTGACTCAATTGGTGATTTCATCAGGGATTGCAAAATGGTGATGTTTCTCTTTCCTTCTTGACTTAAATGTCTACAGTGAATAACTTCATCAACTACTTGGTTATTCTGAATTGCAATTTATACGGGAAAGGCAGCATAAATGCTTGGCTCTTTTTACTTCTAAATTTTTAGAATGATCTCAAACTCTTGGGTTATAATATATTTGTGAGTTTCAATCCTATGTAATCATTTTTCCAATTTCAGCGTTCAGCGTTCTGTTCATAATGCCTTGTCATTGCCATCAAGAGCCTCTTAAAACTGGCTTTAGGGCCTTGGCCATGTGATCCTAGATCTTTTCAGAAGCTTTTCCTACTTTTTGGCATGATATGCTGTGCCAGACTTGGATCCATCCATCTCTTCAGGGAACTCTGTATCCTTTCAGTGAGAAATGGCATTAGAAGACTATAATCTGGGTGGTTGGAATACTCATTGTTCTTTTACAAGTACAGAGATAAAGGTGCTTTTTCAAGAAGGGAAAATTTTTCATGAATTCATACAGATTCTTTTAGTTTAAATGTAAGATTTCATGGGAGATTTTTCCTTCCTTTAATTTAGACCTATTTTTTTCCTTATGTTTCTGAAATCTTGCTTCTTATGACTTTAACTCAATCATTTGCTTTATCTTATAATGTAACTGTCAGGCACTTTAAAATAAGTATACCAGTATTATATTATAAGTAGAGCTAAGAAGCTTAAGAATTTTTCTTTGTAAACTCAGCACATTGGCACATGCCTATAATCCCAGTGACTAGGGAAGCTGAAGCAGGATGATCTCAAGTTCAAAGCCAGCCTTAGCATCTTAGCAAGACCCTGTCTCTAAATAAAATATAAAAAAAGGCTGGAAATGTGACTCAGTGGTTGAGTGCCCCTGGGTTCAATCCCCGGTATTAAAAATAAAAAGGGATTTTTTTTTTTGCAGTTCTTTTTTAACCAAAAACATGGCCCAAAGGAAGATTTATTCCCTTTATTATCTTAATTATCTACAGTGAAGGACTTCATCAGCTGTTTAGTTATGTTAAATTGTAGTTTGTACAATTCTAGTAATTATTTAACATTTTAATAGCAATTCTAGTCATTATTTTCTCTATTTGGTTATGTCACTTACTTGTTATAGAGTAAGGTTTATCTTCACTTGTTTTTAATTTTTAGGGATTCATTTTTTCCTTTTTAGATTCCATTTTTTTATATTTATTCTTTAGTTTTAGGTGGACACAATATCTTTATTTTATATTTATGTGGTGTGAGGATCAAACCCAGTGCCTCATGCATACTAGGTGAGAACTCTACCACTGAGCCACAACCCCAGCCCCATCCATTTTTGTTTATTAATATTACTATTTTTTTAACTTTTCTTGATATCACTTTATTCTTCCATTGTTTCTTCTTGAGAATAAACATATGCACAAACATACATATACGCATGTTCATCTTCCACTGCTCTTACATAAAAGATAGCAACTTGCATAATAAACAGTTTTGGAGCTTGCGTTTTTCTTTCAGTATATTGCAGGGGTAATGCCCTAGTAAATACATAAGTTTTGTAATCATTCATCTTTTACTGTTGCATACTACTACTCTACTTTGTGGCTATTCCATAGTTCATTCAACTGGTCTTCTAGTCATGGACATTTGGGTTGTGTTGAACCTTTTACTGTTAACAATGCTATGATAAATAACTTTGTATTTCATATTTCTGCCAGTTTCATTTGGGGATAGATCATTTCAAAATGAGATGGCTGGGTCATATTATTTTGCTAGAGATTGCCAGATTTCCCTCCATGGTGGCTATGCCATTTGTATTCTGCTAGCAATGTATGAGAGGGCTGTTCCGCATGCTTCCTCCAATGGAGTCAGACTTTGGGATTTCTGCCCATCTAATAGGCAATAAATGGTATCTCATTCAATTTTGGCATGCATTCTCTTATTAGAAGCCAAGTTGAGCTTTGTTGGGATTTTTTTTCTTTGTTTATATTTTTGTCATTGCATTTTTTTCTCTTTGAACTGTTCTTTTTTGTATCTTTTGTCCATTTTTCTTTCATATGCTGATATTTTTCATCTCTGTCTTTAGGAACTCTGTATGTTAATGATATTAGCTGTGTGTGTGTGTGTGTGTGTGTGTGTGTTGTGTGTGTGTGTAAGAGTGTAATATTATTTGCAAATATTTCCTTATGTACATGTTTCTTTTTTAAAGACATGAATTTTTACTTTATTAGAGTTCTATTTATCATTCCCCCCCCCTTATTATCTGGATTTTGAGTCATGGGAAAGTTTTAAACATTTATAAATTTATAAAGAAATTTGTTTTCATGCAACAGCACCATAATATTTAAATATTTAATAGCATTCTCTTGTTTCAGTGTTTTCCTATAATTCTTGCTTATTTGTCCTTCAGTATGAACTTAGGAATTAACTTATATATCTTCAGAAAAAAAAAATACATGACATTTCTATTGCAATTGTACTTATTTGTTTATTTATCTTTATTTTTTATCTTTTGAAGCTATATTTAAATGTCTGAATTAATTTAGGGAACACTGACATCTTTATGATACTGAATTTTCCTGTCCAAGAACATGTATGAATTTCCATTTGTCCAAATTTCCTTTGAAGTCTTTCAGGAATATTATGCAGTTTTCCATCTACAGGTCTAACGTCCTGCAAAGTCAATGAGTGGTTTTGTGTTTTGTGGTTCTGTTTGAGAGGAGGAGGTGTTTCCTAAAATTGGCTAAAATCTTTACATTGGCTCTAATTTGCATAAAAGCTATTGATTTCATCGTGCTTATTTTATTTTGTTCCTTTCTTTGGGGCGGGGGCAATGCTGGGATTGAACCTAGGGCCTCATGTGCTAGGCAAGTGCTTTACCAGTGAACTGCATCCTCAGCCCCTAGTGTGTTAACTTTATATCTTACAAACTAAATTTTCTTTTAGTTTTTTCTTTGATTCTTTCAAGTCTTCCAGAGATACAATTATACTGTCTTTATTTACTTTTTAAAATTTTTTTTAGATGTGTGGACCTTTATTTTATTCATTTACTTATATGTGGTACTGAGAATTGAACCCAGTGTCTCAAATATGCTAGGCAAGCACTCTACCACTGAGCCACAGCCTCAGCCCCCAATTATATTATCTTTAAAAGGACAGTTATAGATTCTTTTCAAAGACTTTTCTAGCTCTTAAAATGCAAATTGTTTTCTTCTGATCACCCTGCTAATATCTTTAAAACAATGTTAATGATGGTAGAAAAAGAAGTCATTCTTGTTCTTAACTTTAGCAAGAATCTCTCTAGTGTTACCATGTCAAATAAATACCTTTTTGCCTTTTGTACGTGTGCATGCGCACATGCATACACATATGAAATGGAGAGTACATATTATTAAGGTCAAATTCCTGTTTGTGTTTTTATCATTAATGTGTGTTAGATTTTATTTTTTGCATCTCTGGTGATCATAGGGATTTCTATCATGGATATGCTGGTGTGATGAATCATAGCCATCCATGAATTCAGCTTTAACTAATAGATTTTGATCATTTTGATTATGGACTTACTCATAATATATTTTTAATGTAGTTGGATTCTGCTAGTTACTATAAAGATTTTATATCATTATTCATAAGTGAGATTGTACAGTAATTTTTCCTAGTTTGAACTGTCTTTGTAAGGCTTGATATCAATGTTATAGTATATAAAAAATTGAAAACCAATTTTTTAAAAAATCTTAAATGGGGGCTGGGACTGTGGCTCAGTGGTAGAGCACTTGCCTCGCATGTATAAGGCCCTGGGTTCAATCCTCAGCACCACATAAAAATAAATAAAATAAATGTACATATAAAAAATACTCTTTAAAAATGTATTTTAAAATAAATTAAAAAAACCTTAAATGGGGAGAAAATACAAAACTCAAGTAAAAATGAAAATGGGAAAACAGTCTCCAGAATACAGGAAGTTATTTTTCTTAAATATGCTGAGAACTACTTTGGACAATTCTATACAAATTAATTTGAACACCAAATTGTTGGACAATTTTCTAGAAACAATTTTCTAGGAACGTATGGTTTATTAAAACTGATCTCAACAGAATTAGAATCACAGGGAAATTCTAAAATTCAGATAATCCCAGTATTAATTTGTACTAGAGAATTGAAAAAAAAAATGTAAACTTTCAGAAAGCCAGTGTGCTTAGTCACTCATTTGTTTTTCTCTTTTTAACACTTCAAGTTCTTTTCATATTTATTAATTCCTTCTACTCTCTTTCTCTTGTTTTTTGAGTTTCCTGGTTTTCGTTTCTTTTACTTTTATTGATATAAATACTTAAGGCAATGAAATGTTCTCAAGGCTCCAAGTTGTGTCTATAGATTATCTCATTTTCATTATTTCCTATTTCCTCTTGGACTCAAAAGTGTCATTTGTCCTATTTTTTGTTGTGTTGCATTATAGATGAAGAACATAGTTTGCATGATTTTTTTTTTACCATCAAGGTTTTCTTTATGTTTTTCTAAAGATTGTCAGAATTCAGACCTGTCCTATATGTGAATTTGAAAAGGTGTGTTTGCTGTTGTTGGGTTTCAGAGTTTAAATATCAATCTGTAAGATCTACCTTACCTTGTTGTTGTTTTTAAGTCTTCAATCACTTTTACTAGTGATGTGTCTGGATATGTCTTGGACCAAAAGAGGTGTTTTCAAGTTGCCTGTTATTAGTGTGTTTGTATCTCTTTGGGGTATTATCTAGAATGGGCAATAGTTACATTAGCTAGGAATTATTTTCTTTCCCTCAGCCTCTAAATTTAAAATGATATCCTTAATTGGCAACTTGCCTGGCATACTTTTCTTTCTTTTTTAAATTTTTTTTTAGTTGTTGATGCTATTTATTTATATGCAGTGATAAGACTCGAACGCAGTGCTCACATATGTGAGGCATGCCACTCAGCCACAACCCCAGCCCTTGCATTCTTTTCTTAATTGGTATATACTTCATGTTATTTTCTACATTTTCATTTTTGTTGCATAATATTGATATACTGTTCTTTCACCTTTACCTTTCATCCTCTATCCTCAGTTCTATAGTTAAATACATTTACCTTATGCCAATGACTTTCTGGTTACAGAAGTTCATTCTCTGGGTGATTCCTCAGGAGGGCTCATGTAATAATACATTCCTTGAGTCATTTTATACTGGTAATTATATTCTTCAAGGTCATTTTGGCTGGATATGAAATCTTGGATTTTGGGGGGTTACTGTGGTTTGAAACGGAGGTGCTTTACCACTGAGTTACATCCCCAGTGTCCCCCATCCCTGCCTTTTTTTTAAATTTTGAGACAGGGTCTTACTAGGTTATTATGAGCCTTGCTAAGTTGCTGAGGCTGGTCTTGAACTTGTGATCCTCCTGCCTCAACCTCCTGAGTTGCTGGTATTACAGGCGTGTGCTACCGTGTCCCATAAGAATCTTAAATATACTGCTCCAGAGTCTTCTGGCACCAAGTGTTAATGTTGGTATTATTATTTTTCCTTTATAAGTAAATTAGGGATGGCAGTGGGGACAAAAAAGGGAGAATGGATGTCCAAAGCATTTTTTAAAGCTCCATAATTATATCAGAATATATTTTTGTTTCCTATTCTAGTTTATACTTCCTAATCATGTTGTATCCTTTTACTACATTGGTTGAATGGTTGCGCCTGCCCTTCAACCAACCTTTCCACCACAGGAAATAGTTTTGAAATTAGTTTTTAGAATTCTGGTTAATTTCATTCTTTTCTTCAGGGACTCCAATTATACATGTATCAGAACTTCTTTGTTTCTGTCTCCTTATTTTCTCTCAAATCCTCTTTCTTTCTGTTTGGAATTTTTCATTTTCTTCTTCAGGTCCTCTGTTTGCTGGCATGATCCTTTGCCCTCATGTTTCTTCTTGCTTGCTCTTTATTTCTGAAATTATTTCGCTTTCTGAAATTGTTTTGAAGCCTGACACAACATGGGCTGTGTATGCAGCCTCAGCCAGGTGGAAGGCGTGTATCCCAGACCCGCCTGCTGGGACCTGAGGTTCTTCCATGCTCGGTGTGGTTTCTATTCCTAGCAGCTGTTCCTGTCATCTTCAGTGGTTCAGGGGGTGCTTCTGTCCTTCTGGAAGGAAGGTTTTGTGGGGAGCTGCTAGGATCCTGGCAGCTGAGAACATTACAGCTCTGCTCTCTAACCTCCACTGTTGGTTCTTGAATCTTCCTACTGGGAATCCCACCTGTGAGCCCTCTGGGTGGGGCTCATAGTGCTTCCATTCAGGGTGAGGTCAGTAGCAATGCTTCATTTCCTCATTTATGTTGAAGATGTTGGCTACAGGGCTTTCCCTCTGCTATTCCAGTGGCTCTGACTATTTTTATGAAGGGTTTTGTGCAGATTAAAAATCTATCTTGCCACCCTGATGTCACAGCCCTGGTGAGCTGAATGAGGTGAAGCTGCCAGGCTCCAGGCAGGTTATATCGGTTACCATAAAAATTGAATAGCAAAACAAAGTAAACTCTACTTCCTCTCATGGTTTATAGGCACACCAGCTATCGAGAGGATGGAAAAGCATATTATAAAGGTGGACAAGAACAGACCCCGGACCAGAGTCCAGAAATCCCTATCATTATATGAAAAGTGTATGCAAGAGACCGGGTTCGGTGGTGCACACTTTTAATTCCAGCGGCTTGGGAGGTTGAGGCAGGAGGATCACAAGTTCAAAGCCAGCCTCAGCAAAAGCAAGGCACTAAGCAACTGTCTCTAAATAAAAATACAAACAGGGCTGGGGATGTGGCCTAGTGGTCAAGTGCCCCTGAGTTCAATCCCTGGTACCAAAAAAAAATTTTACATGTATGCATGAGAGACACTGGGACTATTAGAACTGATGTGTTGCTATGGTTAGAGAGATTGGTCACAGTTATTAATAACAGGTTAATAAAATGAATGATACAAGTGGCTAATTGAATCATAAATTATCATATGAAATGAAGTAAGTAGTGAACTCCCCTCTAAAATATAATACTTAAAAACAGAGTAGAGTCAGGTTGGAAAGAGAAAGATTGCTCTAGCATTTGCAATAGTTGCCTCTAATTAATTTTAAGAATGCTTATGACATTCATGCATTAAGCTTACCTTGATAGGCCTTTCCAGGTCTTTTTTTGTGAACCTCATCACAATGAGTCCTAAAATCGTCAGCCCATAAAACAGCCATGCAGCAAAACTGAAATAATTGACTAAGGAGTTTATATCGCCAGGGATGATATAAATTGTCGCTATAATACCCTAAAAGAAGAATGAATTCTTAGGTCATTAGTACATAAAAACATTACTCTTATCATTTCACAAAAGACTGAAGAAACAGTTTTTCCTATGCATAAAATTTATAACATGAAAGAACCTTCCCAGGTAACCTTGACTATGGCTACCATAGCTATTCTCTTTGAAGCCTGACAGGAAGAACTGAACAATTTTTGAGTCTTCGAAGAGGTGATTTTAAGATAGGGACAAACCAGATAAATTATATGTGTGCATTGTTCTGGCTTCATAATCATGGACTCAATTACCAGAGAGTTTTCTTCATGAGCCAGAGCCACCTAGACTATGAAACTCAGGTCTGATCTTGATGGCATCAGTTGCTTGGCTCTAGCCCTGTATCTGGGCCTGTTTCCCATCTTCTGATTGAGCATGGTGGTGAAGAAGAGGGTTCTCTGGAGCTGGGGAGAGTAGTCTGTCCCTGAACTAGGGATATGAGTAGTTTCTGGGTGTCCAGAATAGTTGCACAACACAAGAAACTCCAATTGGAAGATGCCAACGACCTCATAACTTCCAAGAAACTTTCTCACTAGTAGAACATAGTGAGAGATGGTTATCTATTAAACCCTGTGTGTGTCTGGGCTTTTATCAAGCTTGTTACCAGGGACCCAGAACAGACAAATGCACATGCATGTAAGAAGTAAGGAAGGTACAAGCTTGGAAGGTTCAGTGTCTTTCACAGATAAATTCAGAAAAGGGAGAAGTTGGTAAATTAAATTGTCTTCAGTGTGTGTGTGTGTGTGTGTGTGTGTGTGTGTGTGTGTGTGTGTGTGTGTTTTATGTCAAGTACTAAGGGAATGGATCATTTAAAAACCATGGAGTTTAGCAATAGCAGGTTGACTTCACCACCTGAATTGAGGGCCCTTCTCCCTTTAGGGGAGCTGGTGTCCTGGCAGGATTCATACTTACGTAAAAGATGATAGCAGGGGCAGGAGTGAGGCGCCTGACACTGATGTAGGAGAGCACTTTAAGCATGTGGCCTTCCCGGCCTGCAACGTATATGAGCCTGAAAGAACAAGCATATGGCAGTCACTAAGCAAGTGTCCTGAGTTTCACTAATGAGACCAGAGAGAAGGGAACTGAGTGGTAACTGGCATCTTCAGATGCAAGTCTGTTCTCTGGAGGGTATTGAGTTTGGGAGGAGTAATTAAGGTAGCCAAATATGCCTGTGAGGACTGCATCCTGGGACAGTGGAGTCACCAAGGCGGGGATAGTTGGGGAGGCCCTTTTAAGAGGAGGTGCCTACTCTCCGAAAGTTATGCAACAAATGTGTAAAAACTAGTCCAGGGCCAGTGAACCCCAGTGCCTGGGGCACTAGACAGAGGTAAACACAGAAGTGCCTTGTGCTTGCAAAAGTCAAGCCAAATTAAGGGTGAATTAGCCTGGCATGGTGATGGATGCCTGTAATCCCAGCACCGTGGGAGGCTGAGGCAGGAGGATCACAAGTTCAAAGCCAGCCTCACTAACTTAGTGAAGCCCTAAGCAACTCAGCAAGACCCTGGCTCTAAATAAAATATAAAAAGGGTTGGGGATGTGGTTCAGTGGTTGAGTGCCCCTGGATTCAACCCTAGTACAAAAAAAAAAAAAAATTAAGGGTGAATTAGCCCGGCATGTTGGTGGATGCCTATAATCCCAGCACCGTGGGAGGCTGAGGCAGGAGGATCACGAGTTCAAAGAAAACAGCCTCACTAACTTAGCGAAGCCCGAAGCAACTCGGCAAGACCCTGGCTCTAAATAAAATATAAAAGGGGTTGGGTATGTGACTCAGTGGTTGAGTTTTCCTGGGTTCAATCCCTAGTACAAAAAAAAATTAAAGGTGAATTAGCAGGCACAAAGCGCACTCAGTTCTCCCCAGAACTGATGGTTCAGTAACCTGAAAGACTATATTTAAAAGACTGAAAAAGGAAATGGGGGAAAGCTGAATAGAATTGTTAAAGGGAGTTATCATAATTAACAATTCAATTAGATACAGTGAAAAAATAAGTTGTAAGTTAGATGTACACACAAAGCACAGAGAGAAGAAAGTACAGATGAAAAAGTGAGAAGAAGACACCAAAAAGCTCAGACACTTGAGTGAGAAAAGGCACATTCAAAAAGCAAAGAATTTTTATAAAATTGAAACATAGCTAGGCACAGAGGTACATGCCTGAAATCCCAGCTACTTGAGAGCCTGTAGGAGGTGAATCGTAAGTTCACCTCCAGCCTGAGCAACTTAGTGAGACCCTGTCTCAAAAATTGGCCATGCTTGGGCAATTATATCAGAATGAATTCTACTGTCATGTATAACTAAAAACAACCAATAAAAACAAATAAAAAGGGTTGGGGATGTGGCTCACTGGTAGAGCACCCTGGGTTCAGTCTGTAGTACACACAAACACTGAGTCCCCAACTGAACCCAGTCTCGCACAAGACAAAGCATACCTACCCAGATGTGTTATAGTGGAAAGAGATCAAAGTCTTAAGAGCTCCTGAATTTAAGAGACTAACTACAGAATGGTGTACATGGTGAGAATATTTTCAAAATGATGAAGGAAACAGATTTTCACATTTGAATTCTATGTAGCTAAACTAGCATTCAAGACGTGATGAATAAATGCAGTTTTAGATAAGCAGTGAGACATTTCCTCTCCAGTCCTCATTGGAAACTGTTAGAGTCTAGGGGAAAACAAACAACTTAGAGGCAGTCAATTTTAAGAAGCAATGTTAAGGAAAAAGAAGGAAAATATGTTGGTGTATAGATAAATATTGGGCTAGTTTTTCTTTTCTCTTTTTGTATTGACAAACATTTTTTGGAAGTGTGGGCTAATAAGATACAGCTGATGTACTAGACAATATGAAGAGTGAGCCCTGGTAAGAGAGGAAAGAGAACTGGCATACTGCTACTGTTCTAGACACTCAGGTTCTATTTTGGGGTGATCATTAGAAGACTAGTATAACTGTCACATCAGAAGAAAAATGGGACTAAAGAAATTTGATAGCTTTAAAATAATCTCATTGAGTTGTGATAGCTAAGAAGACATAGAGCAATATGTTAGAAATTCATTCAGTTGCATCAGCGATCATTTGAATTGTAAACACATTCAGTTGCTAGAGACTCTGGTTGGATTTGTTCAAAAAGCTCAATGACACTGAAAGGTTGGTGATAGAAAAGATAGGACATTATAGCAATAGCAGACAAAATAGAGTTGAAGGCTTTAAACTGATAGTTTCTTTGGGGGTGGG